ATTTTATACTTACAACCTAGTGCGCGACAGTGAGTATGCTTTCGTTGCAAAGAGTTGATGCAGTCTCAGGTTTTGTAGGGAAAAAAATACTACCTCCGGCGAAAGACTGGATCGAACTGGAGGAGCGACGAAGATCATTCTGGGCAGCTTATTATGGTGACAGATGGGCTAGCTGTGCTACTGGATGGCCAATGATGTTTGATGAACAAAAGGTATGAACGAAACTATTCAATAAAGCATAAGACTAACATCTATAGATTAAAACTAATATGCCTTGTTCTGATGATGCGTTTGATCTAGGAATGGAGGAGAGGACATGCTCATTAGCTGAGGCATTGACTCCGGAGGGTGCTTCTACGATATCATCATTTGCTGGAGTAGTGTTATCGGCATGCTTATTTGGTCAAAACATCGAACACATGTCCAAAAGTGGTCCCGACGATGGCGCCAATGATATAGCCAATGGTGAATTTTGGAAAAGACATCGAAAACTGGATAATGTCTTGTCTAATACATTCATGTTTTTACCTGATTCTCTCAGGCTACCTGCTGGACTAAGGGATCCGAACATAGTCTTTTTCCATATGAATATTCATTGTTCAACGATGTAAGTGTAATATGGAATATTGATTCCTTTTTGCTGACATCAGATTAGTTGCCTACATCAAGGAGCAGTCTTGACCGCAGAACGTGAAAATATCAGCCAGTCGTTAATACAACAAACCGAGGCGAGAAATTTGAGGGCGGCGGAGGAAGTCGCAAACTTAATGCGCCTCATCAGCCATGTTGATATATACAGGGTATGTTTTCACCTTGGATAAAATTTTCCATGTAGAATATTTTTAACATGGTAATAGATAACTTCATGGGTAGGGTATTGTCTCTATATTGCTTCAGGGGTATTTCTTCAAGATTTAAGGAAAGACAAACCAAGCCCACAAAGCTCCAGCAATTTAGAATTTATGATGTCGGCTTTGAAGGCTGTTGGGAAAAAACACCTTATTGCAAGACACTTTGCTGTTCAGCTCGAACTCGAGATCAAAACAAGGAAGACAGATCACGTGAAAGTTTCAAACACCTTTCCTAAATCATGTCCGTCCGGACCATCGATATCAGACGATGGTGATCTCTGCCCTTTCCCTCGCAGCTTCAATCAAAAAGCACCGAGGAATGAATCTTCTCGAAGCTCGATTGATATCAGTCAATCAAGAATTACAACCAGCAACACGCCTCCTCAAACCACACAACAACCACAACTAGAAACCATCTCGCAAGCAACGCCTACTGGTTATTCCGCAACAAACTTTTCCCAACAACTACATCAACAGCCAGATTCGGGAAGTGAAACCATTGACACTGACTTTAGTTGGCCCCTAGCTGGAAACACACCTTCATCAGATTCTTCAACTTCCAATGCAACATATCCATACCGAAATTCAAAATCCGCGAATCTAACCGACTCGAATGGGAATTGGATTTTTGATCCCGATCCAACAAGGTTTACCATGGATCCTTTGTCGTTAAATATGTCGAATAGGGAGAGGGATATGGAGAATGGTTTGCCGGATAACGAAGTTTTGAATAGTTTGATTAATAGTACCAATGTAAGTTGATTATTTTGAATTGCACTTTTTATCATTCACCGAAGAATCATCCTGTAACAGACGCTTGCTAATAAATTATAGGTTCCGTGGGATCCTTTTCAGATTTCTAGGGATTTACGTCATTCTGGAGGTTAGATTTTGTATATTACTACCTAGGTAAAGATATTGTATTATAATAGATAAATATAGAGATCTCTAGATTTATGGTGAGATTTTCGCTGGCAGTGTCTCTTGAACTTTTGCACTACTTCTTCCTCTCCCCCACAACACCCGAACCATCCCCATCCCTCTCGCCCCTCAACTCTACACACCTCCCCCTAATCCCAGCAATCTCCTCGTCTAACAAAACAATCCCAAAAACCTCCCTCAAAACCCTCACCCTCTCCTCTTCGTTTTCACAAACCCGTACAACCCTCGTCTTTCCCCCTAAATTCTCCTTCAAAACCCCATTAACCAACATTCTCTTCCCTATGATCACCTCCTCACCACCCTCCCTATCCCCCTCCCCACCACCCTCACCCTCATCCCTCCCCCTCAAAAACCCCACCACCAAAACATTCCTCGTCTGAAAATTCCCCTCCCCCATATACCCACTCACATAAAAATTCACCATCTCCCAATCCACATCTAAAAATTCATGCTCACTAAACGCATAGAAAGAATTCCATTCCTTTTCGCAGCTATTCCGATATTGATATATCCAAAGCGGTTTGGATTGATCGATTTGTTGCGGTATAGTTTCATATATGAGACGGATTTCCTGCGTACCGAGATTATGGGTTGAGTGGCCGGAGATGAGGGGGAGAGGTTTGGTGGCCCCGTCGCCCCCGAAGGCGATGTCGATCATGTATTTTTGGGAGGTGGGGAGTGT